CTGAGAGCAGGTGGAACGTGCCAGAGAGGGGGGGGGGAGGTTGGGGTGCTTACAGACATTTAGGAAGTTCAATTAAATGAGTTATCACAAAACTGTGCAATAGAGGTGACGGCGGCATTAGCAACTGGTGCATTTGAAGGACTCTCACCGCAGCCGAGATGGGCACAGTTGACAAAGCAGACCAACGATGAGGATGCCGGCAAACGCACATGCAAAATGAGAAGCCGGCAAGAGAAGAAGAGAACGAAGAGCGGAGAGATGAGAAAGAGCGTAGGCAGAATTAAAATTCGGCGAAGTCCTTAATGCATTTCTCTGTAGTAGCAATGCGCAGCGGTTCCTCTTCGTAGTCATCAAAGTTACTCGCATCACCGGGACCCTTGCATTTTGGCGTGAAGGGCGCCTCCAACTGAAATACAATTTGAGTAAAAAAGATCAGGTTAGGATGAAAGTGTGAAGGAAAGTGGACAACGTCGTCTTCTAAAAAAGTGGGCTCATCGCATCACCACTTTGAACCCGTCGAGGTGTCAGACCTTGGGTTCTCATTTCAAAGATGGCGTGATCGGATGGGGGCGGGTCAAGCGGGTTAAGTGACACCTGGGCAGATGTTTTGATGTGCGCTCTTACGCGACAAGCACAAACGGGACAAATAAATTCAGCATTGCGAAATTTCTGGAGCGAGCAGCTCAAATCTATGGCCAGGAATCAAAACAAAGACCGAGTTCACTACTGCCCAGTATGAACGTTAGCAGAACCCAACGACTGACTGCCAGAACCAACCACCGAGTCATTTTGAGTTAAGACATTGGTAACAGGAAGCAGTCATATTTAGTGTGGTGATTAGGCTTCTACGCACGTGGGCTAAACGAGTCCAAAGTTGGCAAGACAGAGCAGGGGACAGGGCGACCGACTATTGCGGCTTGTCCGATGACGGACAGCAACCAAACACTTGGCTTGCAGAGAAACGGACAAGTTACGGGACCCCACAGGCATCCCGTGAGCCGCAAATCCCCGATCACTCTGAGGCTGCTCCCCCGGACCTCCTAGTCGTATATCTGAGGCTACCCCCATCTCTCACAGTTAAGGATGGACAGTGACTAACGCCACAAATATGATATAAAAGGACAATGAACATCGCGTTCTTCTGGGATGCATGGAGAACCCAGGTAGGTGCCATACTTGAGAGACTGTTAGGGGATGCCGCGAGCCCCAACACACGTGCTGGTTGCCTCAGTCAAGCCCTAAATGCCAGCCAAATCTCACAAGGCATCTTTACGCGGCGCTTTGCGCAGCTGCCACAGTCGGGCAAATGCTTCGTCTGGCGAGTTAAACATTCTGCTTGGTGAAGCTGTGTGTGTGTGTGAAGTCTATTTCAGTCGGGAAAGATGAACCAGCACGCATGCCTAGTCAGCCATAGCTTCCCACTTCCGCCTCTCACTTTAAGTGCCTTATGCAGCGGGCGGCCTAGAATAATTCTGTTTGTTTTTCCAAATTCGTGGTCCATAACAGGACTCCACAACTGCCTGTGAAGGCATTTTCAGGGAGGCAATATTTACCCTCATCACGCGAAAAGAAGCCGGACAATGCGTCCTAAAATGCTGATAATCATGCCGCCAGCGGGGTAGCCGTGGTTCATGGACGCTAAACACACTGTCCAAGTAGTGTGCGAGAGAGCATTCGCCGTTTCTATCTCATCTGACCCTACTGTCAGAGCGAGCAAAGTCAATCTGGCAAGCAGAATTGTCTGATCCAAAGGCCAACCGGACAGAGCAAAGGGTTGACCTTGTCAACTGAGGACTAGTTAGTTTCACTGCGAACGTCATGGCATGCAGTGAGACCCGTTTCTCGGATCAATGAGAGCTGAATGAGTCCGGTAGAGGTTACGTCTTTGTCTGGAGTGCCATCACAATGAAGAGCTCTGTGACGGTGGAGTCACCCTTGCCTCTGAATAAACCTCGTTTGGAAGCTGTCTTCTCTCCCTCATGGAAGCACCGAGCGCCTCAAATCACAGAGGCTACCATTTTATCGGAGAAATATCGTCATAATTGTCCGCGTCCGCCCCTTCCTACAATCGCAGGCAAAAGGAACGCGGAAGAACAGTTTTATGAAGGTTTTTGTGTCCACTCAGAGTCCGTGCTGAAAGCGGATTAATTGCTTACCCTTGTCGACTTCAATGGGTAGGATTTGGTTATATATCCCCATCTTATGGACACAATATTGTGAGAATTAGGGGTTATGGTTATTGGTTAGGGTTTAGGACTAGGAGTCAGGGTTAGGGATATGAGTTAGGGTTAGGAGTTAGGGCAACGTTTTCTCAACCACTCAAAGTACAGCCGCGCATTCCCATTAGCTTTTCTTTTGTATACAACCACTTGACCTCGTCGCCTGTGCGTCCCCCGACCCTACCTGTAAGAATCCCTATAACCACCGGTCGTGTATTACAGGGGGCTGGAGTTTGTTTACTTCAGGTGGGATTACATAACCCCAGCTGGCCCTTCAATGCCCGGGTAGACCCAGAATACGACACCTGATGTTTGATCGTCATGGTTTGAGTCACTGTTCTAACAAGGGACGTCTGCTGAAAATCTCCACAAAAACGCAAACTCCCAGTCGTCGCCACGACTTTCCAGGAGACAATTTGGAGGCAACCTCGACACAGCCGATAGTAAATCATGCTTTTGAGGAGAAGTAATCACTTCAAGTGCTCGTGACAAAGACTGATCACGAGCTGAATCCTGGTTCGACCGATGTCACAGGACTGACAGACATGATAAACATTCAATAAGGCACAATTAAAAGTCACACGAAAGTAGTAGGCCAAAGCCAAAATCTGGAACAAGACGTCAATGCCTAACTTCTGCTGGACACTTTTGGACTCAAGGCAATGCCAACACATCCGGCTCACCCCTTGTAAAACAAAACATCACTAAAACCGGGGTCACCACTGAGGTTCCAACCCCCCCCCCCCTACTATCTGTCCTCACTGTATAGCCGTGTTTGTCCTGGTCGGACATTTTCATGACGGAAACGCCGCCAGAGCACAAAGAACATCCAGCAGGACCACAATCGCTGTAGACCGTATCGCATTGTCCATCCGACTGCCGAGTATTTACCAGACTGTCACCTGCAAATCCATCACTGTGCGAGTAAAAAACCCCTGTCCGGAGTCCTGACTAGAAGTTGTTACGCACACACAACGTACGTGCCATCACAGTAAGTGGACATTCAGACACCGTACTCGGTCAGAGGTGAATGCACGAAAATGACCAGTAAAATAGAACAGTCGACGCTTCCCTTACACCCTTTCTCTTCATCTTCACACGCAAGCACACATACACACACACGCAGACCGTACATACGCCTCTTCGGTCACACAACCATACACAAGCGCTATCGTAAAAAAAATTGTACGTCGATCATGAAACTACTATGCGATGCAGCGCCTTTAGCGTCTTTACGGCAGACAAAACGTCGTGTGCGCGTGTGTGAGAATGTGCACACTTCGTCTATGCGAAAACTGTGCTTTTTGGTGAAATCTGGTCAAGTAGAGAGGAAGAGGACCGCGCGTGCGACACAAACAGATTATGGCAGACGTAACGCCTTTTGCCGTGCCTATTAGTATCGTCCTCAGCAGTCGGCCGAATGACTCTGACAGGGACAGGGGCGGGAACTGCGAGTAGGGTCGAGGTAACTCGGATCAGACGAGTTTTGGAAGTTGCAAACTATCGAAAAAAATCGTTGCTGTGTGTTGCAATGCAGTGGTTTATTTTGCGTATGCCTCTTGCGACACTCTCACGTGCATAAGACACGAGGCACCCTCCTGGATGAGGCCTGGGACTTTTGGATTTAGGGCCAGGCCGTGTGCGGCACGCGTAGATAGGCTGTTTAGCTCAGCTAGCCACCACGTCCACGCCCACCCCCCGTTCGCATGAACCTCATCCAGAAACGGTGGGCGTGGGGGAAAAGGAGGTGAATGCACCGCAAGTCTGTTCCGCTACGTGCAAGTCACGTTCGCACCCAACTGATTAGACAGTGGTGGGTCGCGTCGAGTAGGACGGTCGAACGATTACAAGGGATTTTTAACTTCTCGCTAACCTACTTCCCTCGGAGACAGACCAAGTTTCCTTCTTTTAATCTGAAACAGATTCGCTCGTTAGCGGTCGAGGCTGGTCAGATCAATGACTCCAAACAGTCAATATCCGCATGTGGTTTCGGATACCCCTCTGTTCCCAATATGCGGCCGGACCTGATCGCCGTATTATGATGATCAAAAGACCGCAGGGTTAGATCGCATTTGGTAGCCAGGAATGGGGAGGCGAACAGCCAGGTCCCTGTCGTACGGAAATGGTGGGAAAGGGGGTTATATGGGTGGGGTAAATGAGAGGGCTGGTAGATGAATGCTGGAGTTTCAGGGTAAAAGTATAGTTAACAGGGAAAGTGCTGGGAAGTTTTAAGTAGGTGGAATAATGGTAGAAATTTAAACCCTACGCTTAACCCTAAAATCCAACCCTGACCGCAACCGTAAAGCCTAACCCTCAGCCTTAAAGCCGAAACGTAACCAAAATCCTAAAAGCCAACGCTAACCCAAAACATAGACATAACCCTAACCCTAATATTGACCCTAACCATAACCTTAACCCTAACCGTAACCTTAACCCTAACCATAACCTTAAGCCTAATCCTAACCTTAACCTTAACCCTGACCCTTACCTTAACCACACCCCAACCTTAACCTCAACCGTAACCCTAACGAGAACCTAAACCCTAAACCTAACTATGAAACCTGAACCTAAAACGCAAACCCTAATCCTAAAACTTAACCTACGCCTAACCCTAACCCTCACTAAAACCAACAGCCTGACTGAAACGGGCGACCTGCATAACTCAGTAAGAGCACACCTACTGACAACAAGTTCCCTAGACAAGGTAAGCACACCTACTGATAACAAGTACGTACGCCGACAGTATCAACGTATAATGTCTGGCTACCAACTGTGATCTTACCGACCACAGAGACGGATTACTGGATTTTCCGTTCCAGCAGCAAGTAAGTACCAGATTTACTAGGTCAAATGTCGCAGATATACGGTGCTAGCATTACTTGTTCATCCGAGGCATTCCACAGTGGGCCGCATGCAGAGCCGAAGCACAGACAACTGTGGACAATGGAAAAGTACTGAACTAACTGAGGTCAAGAAGGCGATCTTCTAATACGCAGGCTCAGCTTAATATTAAGAGAAACTCACTATTCGTGGTGCAGGAGAAAAAGAAACCCAACAATGTTCAATTCTTCGAAGAATGCAGTTTCTAGAAAGCTGACCCAATTGTTTGAGGTCAATGTTCGGATAGGACCTGTCCAATTCCAACGTGAGTACGAAAACGTCAAAAAATTGAAAATGCGCTGATCCCACAGCCATAGAAACTCATATAATTCGATCCGGACGATCCACTCAAACCTTAAAACATCTTAATTGATATTTTTGGCAGATATGAATAAACCATTTAACCCAACTGTTAAAAACTCGGCGGCCTCAGGAGGATTCGAGTCCAAAACACTCTAACCACCTGAGCTATGATTGCATACGGAATCCCACTTGGGTAGTCAGTTTACTGAATCGGAATCGGTGGATTCTATAGATTGAAGTAGGTTGGCCGGGTAGCTTGACCCAAAAAACGATCGGTGAGCGCCCCTCTATCATTATACATCCCCGACCGCAACTGACAGGACAACGAGCCCACTGGCTCAGTGGTTAGAGGCGTTGGACTTCTAACCAACAAGTTGCCGGATAGAGTCCCAAGTGTTTCCAGTCTCCCTTGTCTTTGTCGGAAATGACATTCTGTCGATATTATGCGCCGCTGTGCGGCTGCTGGTTGGGCTCGAGAGAGAGTCCATAAGGCACAACGAGGCGAGTGAGTTCTGCCAAAAAACCATCGGTGAGCGTCCCTCCACCATTGGCCCAAAATATGATTAAACTCACGGTTCCCCGTAGTGCCTCGTAGCTCAGGTGGTTAGAGCGTTGACTGCACTCAAGCCCTGCCCTTGCGGTCGTAGGCGTATATCCCAACGAGGCCGACGAGTTTTTCCCAATTGGGTCAGATGATATAAAATAACTGCTGAGATGGTTTCCCGACCAAATTTTTTTCCAGTGACAGTTCACAGAAGCAAGTTTAAGCCACTTTTTCTAGGACTTATCGAGTAATTCAATCTATTGTTAAGCTGGGACGGAGAGCAAGCTTTGGAAGACAACTTGGATTATTAAATGTGCTGAGGAAACCATTAGGTAGCTTGGTGTGTAGATTTTAAAGTGACCCAAGTACATAAACACGAAATGAGTACTTAAATAAAAGTGAATAGGAAAAATTAGTTGAAGGAGCTGTAGCTACTTCCTGACATTCAACCAGCAGGCGGTTAATTTGGGTGAGGCAGGTTTCAGAAGGAAGCAAGGACAGAATAGTTTATTAACACTCAAGACTTCGTGCCCAAACCCAAAGCGGAAACCCGGTTCGGTGTCTGGCCATGAGTCCTTAAAAGCTCAACAAAAGCTGAAGGAGATGTAGCTACTTCCTGGCATCCAACCAGCAGGCGGTTAATTTGGGCGAAACCCGTCCATGAGTCCGTAAAAACCTGACAGACTTCGAAAAGTTATCTTGATGACGGTAGAAGCAATGACAGTACGACTTGTGAGCTCCGCCCTCTGCGAGCAGAAGTGTCTCCGACGGTTCACGTTCTGCACTGTCCACTGCCCCCCATCGCTGACACGTCTACCTGTAATCCCACCATCCTCCTCTCTTCCCACTCTCGACGATGACCATTAATCCTCCGAGCGAATTTCACTGTATTTTGGGCGAATTTAATTGTTTGGGCAACCGTATTGACCGAATCATGCATTACAAACAGGGCTCGCTTGCTCGGCTGCCTCCTGTTAAAAAAACTGCTTAGCTCAGTAAAATTACCCACGTAAACATTCGCAGGCAGGGTGGCATTCCGAACAAGAGTACTCCTGCGCTAACTGACGGGATTCCAAGTTTAAACGTGACTATGAAGCGGTGCTGCCGTTGTAAAACCACTGAAGAATGCAGGCGGAATGACGGCCAAAATAGCAACCACTATGTGTGCCCAGTACTAACTTTCGCCAATCTGGAAGCTGGTAGCTGTTTACACGAAGCAACTTTTGCAACAAGGTCCTTGAGGCGCCAGTCATCCAAAGTCGTGGGGCGGTTAGAGGGGGGGGGTACAAAACCCGAACCGACTATTGGATACAGTGCCACGCGAAGCGTCAGTCGTTTCACGCGCGAACTCGCCTCTGGCCCTTACCCTCCCACCCCACCTCCCCACCCCCTCCAACCCTGTTTTAGGCGTCACAGGACAACCCGGGTCATTTGGTCATGCATGCTGGCAGTGGGCCGCAGCAGTACAGTGCTGGTGGCTGTTGTCTGGTTCTGAAAGCGGTCTGTTCACAAAATGAATCGACAACACCCGACTACTGCCTTCCATGAAAACGAAAGGGGTTGAAGAAGACATTGTTTTCGTCCACTAAGCGCGGAAAACGTGTTTGCGAAAGTGGCCGTCAAACTGCTCCGCCAGGGCAGGGCCGAACAGAGACCAAAATCTCCGTGAGGGAATCTCACAGAGACTGGTAATTATTTGCTAACGACTGCTCGACCTAGCCTCGGATCAAATGGTTGACGAGGGTGTGTTAGCAACTTCATAATTAAGAAAAGGAGGCGTTCACCGGGAGAGGTGTATCTAAGGGTCTGACGTTTCGGGTAGTCGTTTCTTCTACCCATTTTCAGAGACTGAGAAGTCATGCACACAGCTTTTCTCCGAAACGTCAGACCTCAAATACACCTCTCCCGGTGACCGCCTCCTTTTCTTTTGATGTGCCACCTGGGAATCGCATTTTCACTACAATTTCATAATTACCAGTTGGCAACCTCGTGTCGAACCGGTGAGCTGATGTAAGTGGTGGAGTACAATAGATCGGCCAGAGGATTAAATGATGGCGGCATTAGCTAGCGCGGGCGCAGTGATTCTGAGTTGGGATTTTCACCTGAAAAACCTTCTCATCGTATGCGAGGCCAAAAAGAGGGCGAGAGGGAGAGGTAGGCGAGGTCAAGGTGAGAAAACAGGATAGATTGTCGTCCAAAAGAAACAGCCCCACTGTCGACCTTGATTAACACGTTAGGAATGCCTGACCTCGTCAAAAGCGCTAATGCGCCGATGAGGTTAGCGTCCGAACACACAGGGCTTGTTTACGACATCTCTTAGACCCTCAAAATCGCTTTTAGGTCAAGTAGATGACTCGAGTGAGGCATCTAGGTCAGAAAAGTAGGAGGTGGGACGAGGAGTAGCCATGGGCTGCTTCTTGAATCATCTTTTAAGCGCCATTTCATCGCCGACTTGGAGCCCCGCGCTCACCGAGAGCGGTTAGAACAGACACAATTCGGATAAACAAAAATGAATGGAAGATGAACGCGCGATTACTGGGACAGTAAGTGCATCCGTCTGAGATTTCCGTCTCGTACAGGAGGCCATCGTCAGAGACTGTGAGAATGCAGCGCCAAATGAGCAGTTTTGTAGGGGTGGGAGATTGGAGTGCAGCGAGCGGTGTTCGCGATATGACTTCCTCGTGAGTGTACAGGGAATTTACACCAGTAATCTGTTTCAGCGTAATTGTAGTCTTTGAGCTGAGGCAAACAAGAACCAAATGGTTCCTAAAGCGTCGAAAGGTTCATAATGGTAAACAGCCACATGAACGTTTTCATTTTCGAGAATCCTGGATTGCTGTTTCAACTATGGGTTATATGGGACATTTAAGGAGGCCGCAATACTTTGGAGTGATCAACAGTGATTCACCTCGAAATTTAAACATACCTCATGTGAAATCCAAACAATGCTGATCAGACAACAAAACCTCCCCTTGAATTTCTGTGTTACCTCAAACAGCACGCAAAATGATACAAAATTGGACTGGGCGGGGGTGGGGGTTGGCAGAAGTTGGATTCTCTCTTTTCCTTCACAGGCAGGCGTCAAAAGAGTTAGGCATCAGGCTATCAGATATCCAACGCGCAGGTTTCATTTTAGCGCAAAGTTCATCATTTCTATTCGGCCCCAGATCCCCCCAAATGAGCCTGAAATCTAAGCACCGGTGCGTGCTAACGGCTTTTCAAAATTTTCCGCAGCCTCCAAATTACGGTATGAGAGATTTCACGAACGCTCTAAGTGTGGGCGCCGTATTACAGAAGCAACTCCAGGGATGACCTCTTGCTCCGCTTCAACACGTGATTGCAAGTTTGCTATAGTATCCTTTTGAAATAAAAAAAGACATGGTTCGCACACGGTGGTGTTTTCATCCCAAAGTGCACTGGTTGGATGTGTAGGTCTTTGACTGTTGGAGTTGTGGTCATTTTTTATCTTGATTCCTATGCGGTAACCCAGCATAATTTTCGGGAGGACGCGAGAAAAACCTCAACTCGCTCTAAACCGAATGAGATTTCCAGTGAATTTAGAATTCGTCTTCATGGGATCGCGCAAGCGCCTGATAAGGGTAAAACTTGGAGGCAGTTTTGCATTGGAGTCTTTTGAGTCTGGTATGCTGTAAACGAGTACTAACGCCTTCGCCCTTACGAGGTCAACGCCCCTAATGCAAGGGCAGGATAGGGTAGCTGTTACAAGCCAGAATTGCACTAAACAGTCAAATGCGTTTAGTGGAATTCTTCAAACGCCCGACAAACTTATTCATCCAGGAGAAAGTCTTCATGGAAGGAATCCATACATGGCTTGTCCAAAGTTCAGGAAGGTTCGAGTGAAGAATAAAGAGGGTCTAAAATCGAAAACTCCACAACTGGTGAAGGGGCGCTCACCGATCGTTCTTACGGAACGCACTCGTTCCGTTGTGCCTTATTGGCTCTCTCTCGAGCCCAACATGCAGTCGCACAGCGGCGCATGATATATAGGCAGAATGGTATTACCGACAAAGACAAGGGGGACTGGCCTATTAGCCGTCGTCAGTCAGTCATACGCAACTCCGAGGTGTGGAACATCCGGGGCTCAGTGGTTAGAGGCGTTGGACTAACAGGTGGCGAGTTCGAGCCCCAGGTGTCCCACACCGCGGGTTTGGGTGAGATTGGCTGACGAGGGATAATAAGCCGGAAATGTTGGCAGGTGTGGCATTCAGTGACATGATCGCAGCAGTGGAATCAATCCTCAGCTAAGCCGGAAATGGATATTCTAGTCTCCTTTGTCTTTGTCGGTAATAACATTCTGCCAACTCCACACCTACCAACGCCCAAGGAAGGCACTATAAATTACCTCTCCAGTGCAGTCGTGGCTCACCTGGTTGACAGCGGCCACCCAGTTGACATCAAGCAAGCCTTTCGCGTAATCTAGAAGGCTCCAGTTAGACATTCCAAATTCCTACACCGGCGGATACATGTGACGACAGAGATGGTCATACGGCAATCCAACTCGGTCTTGTGCTGGAATAGGGCTGTTGTTCAAATTAAGTTGAATTACTCAGATTCCTATCCGCATCCAACCTCGTCGGGTTACAGCGACACGCCCAAATGACGCCTCCTTCCCTGCCACCAGATCCAGGAATTATATTTTCATTCTTCAAATTCCCTGTTCGGCATGCCTGGACACCCCTGAATCCCCCCTACATGGCTTGTAATTGGTTGTTTTTTGAATTTCACTGCCCCACCGTAATGAATACTACTCTGCAGCACTTTTGGCGTTTACCTAACAGTAACGCGGCAGTAAAGACAACACAGATTAGACGGGAATGGACATTTCTGGGTATTCTGTCGTTGTCAGTCGACCAGAGCCAAAGCTTTGGCCTGAAGAATGTTCTTCCTTGAGTCAACAGCCCGTCATTGAGTCGCAGATCCACGCATCGCTAACCGCAGTCATGAGTATTGCGAGCTAGGTTTAAATGACGTTCGTTGATCGGACGTTGCTGCACGATGAAATACTGACTTTCCGCTGTCTCCCATGGTTCCGTTCTAGAGCCTTCGCAGACGGTTGCCAAGCGACCCTGCAACTTTTTCGTTACCCATTCTGAGAATTTACCACAGGGTCTAGGGAGGAGGAGGAGGAGGAGGAGGAGGAGGAAGAGGAGAAAGAAGAGGGAACGCTACGCTGACCGGAAGTCCACCAAGACCGGAAATCTTAACGTGTGCCCAGTTTCGACTTTAAACTGACACGCGGTAGGCATTTATTTAGTGCGCTGCATAATCGTGACATGGGCACTTGGCAAAAGGCCAAACATGTCTGGCGGTTATTCGCAGCAAGCCGCGGGACTTCGGTTCGCTATTTGCTTATTTACACATTGCTTCTCTGGACTGCTGGCAATTAACGTACACAAATCCCCCGGTAGTTATGGATGACTGGAGTGTGTATCTTCCGAACTGGGAGGGTTGTTAGGAGGAGGAACAGGAAAAATAACCCGAAATGCCGGATTCTCTAGACGCCAAGCGCGACGCGCGTCTACGTCCTCCTAGGGACAGCGTGATTGCGTAAGTCAGTCTTATTGGCCCGCCTACGCAGTTAGGATCTACCGTGCGTTATGACCAGGTTCGGCTGGTCGCATAACCAGTGCTGATCTGAATTTGACCCAGACAGGAAGCTTTGGCACCCAGTGGCCGGTCCATTTACATTCCATCTGCGTCTTCCTCCTTTAGGTCGTCCAAATTACCCTTAGCCGAATAAACGGACACGGCTAGATTACAGCCCAGTAGACTTCTCAGGTCAGTGTTTGGTTCTAGACGCCTGCACGCAGCTGAAGCCACGTTGTGGTGCCAAACAGTCCGATCATGGGGCATGAAAGAAAGAGAAGTTTTCATACAGTCATTCCACTAATTCTTTTCTGAAGTTGCGGTTCATTGCCTCGCTACTGAAACGCAAGTGGTTGGGACTCTCTCTCTCTCTCTACGGAACGAGTGAGTTCCGTAAGAACGATCGGTGAGCGCCCCCTACCATTGTATATTCTCGATCGAAAACCGACAGGACAACGGGCTCGTGGCTCAGTGGTTAGACGCGTGGACTTCTAACAAACAGGTCTCGAGTTCGAGCCTCGGATGTTCCACACTTCGGGGTTGGCTATGACTGGCTGACGACGGCTAATAAGCCAGAAATGGTCATTCCAGTCTCCCTTGTCTTTGTCGGTAATATAATTCTGCCTATATATCATGCGCCGCTGTGCGGCTGCTGGTTGGACTCGAGATATAGTCTATAAGGCACAACAGAACGAGTGAGTTCCGTAAGAACGATCGGTGAGCGCCCCCTATCATTATATATATGTATATATATTCAATCAGGAATGGTCGTACACCGATCTATTGGCTTCCCGAAGCAACCAAGCTCCGTATGGGTGGGAAAGGTCACGAAAAGGCAACCAGGTACCAGATCGAAGTCGGCCAAGTCGTAATAGCACCAAGGAGGGACGACAGAGCATGCAGGTAGATGGATACAGTACTGTTTCGGACTTATTTTGCCTTCATTCAGCCAATCACAACCCCGACCAGGAGCTGAGACCAGGAACACAAACATGCGCACAGACGCAGATATATATCCGCTTGAAGAGAGGGGGTCGGGTGATAGATAGAATCTGATGATGAAATTCATAGGCATACGGACAGCCGACTGAACAGGATAAGAACGGAACTAAATCCGGATGCAGAAGTTAAAACAAGGGTGGCAAATACTGCATTCCTGTCTCAACGTTTGATTAGTCGGGCATACATCTCGAATGAAGGCAGTGCACTCAGGTGAGCCTCCGTCAGCAGTCCAAATGGTCTGGCGTCTGATACATGAAACACTAAAAATTATCTTGGCTTTTGTAAGTTTCTGGTAATAAACCACCGATAACCCTAAGTGACAGCCAGCAGGCATGATCCTACGGGCAATAAAGTCGAATGGTTGAGATAAAGACAGGACGGAAAAATACTTAAAAGTGCATAAAACTCATAACACTCTGAAGCTGACGGGCGTTACCTCTCGTTTGTAGATGGAAAACCAGTCTGTCGGGGCGAACCACTTGTGATTCTTGATATCACTGACACCGTTCTTTAAATTGCCATAACGTTTCGTCAAGTCAACTTGAAGCAGATTTCGCAATAGGTCCTTGAGATCGGAACTGAAGTGCGAAGGAAAGCGTACCTAAAATGAAAGAAGATGGAGAATAAAGGACACAATTATGTCACGAATGGAAGAGGATTTGCGCATCCCAGGTTCTTGTTTAAAAGAAGACGAAGGCACGATCACTGGGACGGCTTTCGTGGACTAGGCGGCACATACCAGACCTAGCCACGGACGTAGTCCTCCCCCCTGCACGGAACAATTATATAAATGTTCACATGTTGCTGCACTCTAGCAGTCTCTGAGGATGAACTCCAGTTCGAGTTCGGAAGCTAAGGCCAATAAATTTACCGTCCCAGTGATCGTGCCTTCGTCTTCTTTTACACAATTATGTACTCTGGAAGGAAAACTGCGACCGATGAGCGGTAAGCGCTTCACAGCGGTCAGCTGTAAACGCACCCAACAGTTGGTTACGCAAATCTTTCGATTTCCAAACAGCTGAACACTTAGCGAACATTTTTTCTCAAGGCAGGATCACGCTGCGAAAGACGAAGTAACGAGACCTAGCATACACAGATGCAGCGATTGTCACCTATCTCGTTCAAGGCGCTGGAGCATGTGTGTGTGTGTCCATGTTGGGGAGACCTATCTGTGTCTAATAATTCTTCAGAATACATTTGAAGCCGGATGTGGCGACGACTCTGTAGTGGTCATCACATGCGTTTCTACTTGGCGAATGCATAGAAGTGCGGGAGGACCTGTATGTTTTAACTATGTCCGGTCAATGGCTGATATCATGAGTCTCTGTATGACGTGCGACCAATCACAGTCATTTATTCCGAATAGTTAACTCCGATATTGGGGCAGAACTAAAACACGTGCTGCCTGCTACGACTACGCATCAGCCCTTCTGCACAGAATACAGATCTCCCAGGTGTGTCTACATGTTTCTCTTCTTAAGCAAGACATGTATTGAAGACAGCATGTGACTACTGTCCTAAGCCTACCAGAGAAAGCCTCTGACAAACGAGTGTCTTGAAAAGTCCCCTACTCTCACACTACAAGTGACTGCTCGATCCTCGACAACAAATCAACCAAAACGGAAAATTTCCTCGGCACAGTTGGGCGCAAACTAAAGACAAAAACATCTACAGTCAAAGTGCAAATATTGTTTAACCAACAGCAGTCTAGGCAGGGTGTATTCCGAGTCGCTTTGCCCGGTTTGGTTGGACACATCCGGTCTCCCAACGTAATGACTTCTAAAAGGCTCTCAGTTCTTTCCTCTTGGGACGGACATTTACTCTAGGTCATGTGACATGGTGTTTGTGCAGTTGCCTATTGCATTGTAGCAGCAGAGTTTCGTAGGCCTATTAAATAATAGACTGCAGATTGGATAGGAAAAAAGCTATGAACAGGCCACAGCAGTATCTATTTGGAAACTCTGCTATGCGTTGTATATGAAGTGGACGCTATCGAAGCCTTGTGGATAATCTGTCGGACTGCGAATTGGCACGCAGGGAATTGACTAAGGATCCCGTCCCCTGAGTACTAAAGACCCTCAACTAAACTCAGCGATTGATCTAGTCCTACATCTACATAGTTCTCCAATTCAGCTAGTGGCCTTCGGATTATTTATCTCTCTCCACTAACCCTGACCCCACCGTTTACGCCACTTACATAAAACGAACTGCCAACTACGAGGCATGAATTACGCTACAGCGCTCTAGGTAAATTCTATCCTACTTCATCCTCCATAAACGGATCAAGTTACTACACCTCACCCCTCTTAGGTAATCGCGGAGTGCAGAAGTAAAATTAATGAGAAGACACCGAATTACCTTTAGCCAATGGAGCGCTCCGTTATGCCTTACGGACGCTCTCTCTAGGCCAACCAGCAGCCGCACAGCGGCGCATGATATAGGCAGAGTGTTATTAGCGACAGAACAACGAGCCCGTGGCCCAGTGGTTAGAGGTGTTGGACTTCTAACTAACAGGTCGCGAGTTCGAGCCTCGGGTGTTCCGACCTCGGGGTTGAGTACGGCTGGCTGACGACGGCTAATAAGCCAGAAATGGCCATGTCAGTCTCCCTTATCTTCGTCGGTAATAACATTCTGTCTATATCTTGCGCCGCTGTGCGGCCGCTGGTTGGACTCGAGAGAGACTGTTTAAGGCACAACGGAACGAGTGAGTTCCGTAAGGACGATTGGTGTGCGCCCCTCTACCAAGTTATACATATGTATGTCACAGACTTAAAGTAAGGGATCGGAAAACTTAATTGCCAACCCTTCGAAATCTTGGAAAAATTATAATTTTACTCCATCAGGTGAAACAGTTTTCAGAATACCACTTTAGGCAAATTCTCATATTTGTGAAAACAATCTGCATCAGTATGTCGGTATATTTCGACTCCCAGCATCGTCCCAACAAACAAGATTTTGATTAATGATAGGGGGCGAAATGAGACGCCTGCATCCCGCTGTACGCCCAGGACATATTGGTCAATGACGCTCCCGACTGGCGGCCAGAGCTGAGGTCACGTAGGTAAGGTCCCATTTGTTTTTCAGCAATACTAACAAGTGCAAAACGGTTCGGGTTCAGACGAGACAGATCAATAAGTTTGACTTTCAGTAAACATGACGTCTGGCGGTCCGATCAGTCGTCGCAACCAAAAGGATTAAGGTGGGGTGGAGGGGGCGGGGGGAGCGGCGAAAGGTCCGACCTAAGGGTGAGGAAAATCCCAAAAAACATTCGTTGACTACGTGTTATGGGGCTTTTTCGATCAAAGACAGCCAGTGGAGTAGAAGCCGATATTCATGCCATATTAGCCTGGACAAAGTTAAAGGCCAGGATTAAAATTAATTGCCTGTCAGATTTGGGCCTTGGCTGAATAAGTCATGCTAAGGTTTGCGAGCGTCTGCTATGCCACGCTTCAGCAGACCATGGCTCTCGCAGCCTGGTGTGGGCTGGAAGTTCTCCGGTGCCTGGTTCTCTGGTGGTAGATGCGTTTGCCCCCCTGATGGGTATACAGGTCGTGTGCATGGCTGCGCAGTCTTTTCTATTGTTGTTGTTAGTCAAAATCCTGGTCAAGTCTTTGTTGTGGACCAGGGGGTGCGCCAAGGTGGGAGTTCGACGGTGCCATCCACCTGCGCCCTCCCCGACTCTGGTCTTCTTGACTCTGCCTTGATACCGAGCTCATGCGGGGGAGGCGATAGTGCGGTAGATGCTGTGCAGGTCCATTCTCATCACAAACTAATCCCCGTGCACGTCGGCGTGCCTGCCTCACCTTGCTGTGGAGCACAAGGCGGACATTGTCGGACTACCAAGTCAAATCAATGGAAAGTTCCGTGCTTACGAAGAAAACGTGCCCATTCCAGTGTATCACATACTGAGATGGCCTGCGCGTAGGCAGCATAGCTAGCCTGGCGTTTGTATTGATACATGGCAAACACGAAGTGCCCCATCTATCGAAGGACAACTTGCATCATTCAGCCGGCAAGTGGAGAGTTTTATGATCATTAATACACCAGCTCGCCGAAGGTGAATAAGGTTGATGAGACGCGGAAACTTCAGTGGGTTGTATCTCTCGTTTAATTTCGCCTACAGCTTCCAAAACCAGTCGTCAGTACGTCACCTGACATCAAATTTAGGTCTTTTATGACTTCAGGGAATCGAATCGTGGAGGCGACTGTCATTGGTGATCTTATGGTCAGGAACATGTGACGTCGAACGCCCACTTTACGAATCCGCATATAGGTGTGCCACGTTAAGAAAGAATTGGCCTGGGCGCTAAGTAGCTACGTCAGTGAGTTTCAGGACAAGTCGGTCGTTTTGAAGATTATTCCAGCTTTCGATTGAATTCGGCAAATCATCTTGTTTAGTTAGTATTTATGAGGCCGGAGACTTCTTACATTGCTGTGATACGCTCAGCGGGCCCAAAAAATCTCAGTTGAGTTGTACATTCGGTTCACAGTGAAGGAGGAAACAAAGACCTGACCATTCCCTACGTACAAAGGAGTTCATTTGTGAATGGAATGATACATAAGAAAGAGCGGAAAGCGTGAGCGTGTGCAGTGTAAAAGCCATTTAGCCACAAACGTCATTCTGGGATGCCATGATAGGGCATCTGTACGGCTAGGCGCGCAAACAAAGTGAAGATGAAGGACAAACGAAGATGGGAGGGGGGAAAAGTACGAAGAAAGGGGAAATAGTAGCAAGAACGTGAAAGGAAACAGGTGGTTAACGAAAGGAACGGAGACAATGGGACGGAAATGCCGCAGAAAGGCAGATCGGGAGGGAGGAGGGGGAGGAGAGGGGAGGGGTGGAGACGGAGGAGTGATGTGACATGAAACTCACAACAGAAGTGAGAGAAGTGTTAACCGGAATATGGCGGTAAGAATGGGGAATATAGATAATAAGAAAGCGCGTGCTGAGAACGCATGAACTGGGATCAGATGGTGCATAATCCCTCCGCCGGTCTTTGAGCAGTTTTCAGCGATGATTAACTGCTAAAGCGACTTGCGGCTGACTCATAGACAGTCGCGGTCCAGCAACAGGATGCGGAAAGTTGAGGTCTTGCAAACAAACTACTCTTTAAAATTCTTTAAAGTCGACTAAAATCACCGTTGCAAGGTGACCACTAACTTCCGGTGAATAAGTTATTCAAACTACTCAAGATTTCCTTGTACTTGTTACGTCGGTGTTAAGGGTGGGGAGAAGGACCCCAAGCACCCTGCATACAACTAGCTGTCTATTTTACCTGCTTTATTAGGTTGTGGGTTGTTTACTACTGCTCTGCACACCGAGTTTGTGCTCGACTTCGCCCTTCTGCATTTATTTGTTCGTAACCGTTGAGCTACCTTGTAGCTCAGTGTTGAGAAGCGATCGTACTACTTTCGTCCTCCATCATAGACGTTACTTCTCACCTTACCATTACCTACCATGTCCTAAGCTCAGGGATTTGAGAAGCAATCGTATTGCTTCGATCGTCTGTCGCAGACGTTACGACTCAGTTTACCATTGATTTCGATAACTTTATCTCAGAGAGTTGAGAAACCATCGTATTGCTGGTTGAAGATGCTTGGGGTTCTTCACCCTACCGTTTCCACGTCGGTAATCGTGTCTGGCGTAAATGGCCTCGGAGCGACAGCCCACTGCAGCGAATCCGGAGAATTTGATCCATCCTCTCTCTTCTGGTGACGAATATCAAAGGTCCAGAAGCCATCTCTACGACTTTACGAATTGCGTAGCCAAGTTTTGAGGTGACTTCCTCCTCAACGACACGTCCAGACGAGCAGCGACATCGGGCCAAGGGCGGATGACAAAGAACAACCCCCGCTTCGGAAGCTATCGATCGCATTCTCGCACCACTTGGGGTTCGAGTTGCACACAGACCGGAGGCAACCATCAGGAGTCGGGGGATGAAACCGAAAGACCCGCTGCCACGGCAAGAAACGTCTGGAGTCGTTTGTCGGATCTAGCGCAGTTGCGGACAAAGCAACTACGTCGGAGAAACCGGAAGACAGCTCCGGACGAGAATGTCCGAACGTGCTGCAGCGGTGCGGAGGAATGACGCCAGCTCTCAAGTTGCAGCTCATTCGACGAGATCCGACCACACATTCAAGTTCGAAGATTCCGAAATTCTCACAAGAGGTGACAACCGCGTGAGCCGGGAGCTACTTGAATCATGGTTAACTGGCCCTCAGTCTATTAACAAGTGCAATGGACTTTCCCTTCCATATTCGGTGCTGATACTTCGCCTAGGCGGAGTAATTAGTCACGCGGGGAGTGCACAGGTGAACACTTTTCCCAGCAAACAAGGGTCAGTGCGTCAGATGGTCGAGCAATCATCACACCAACAACGAACGCACGTGATAAAATTGCAGCAATTAACGACGCGAATGTCGGCCATCAGACAATTAGCACACCAAGTGAGACGATCCCGGATGAAGGGGAGAGCCGTGAATGTTCATAGGTATGCGGTAGCATGGCGACTGCATCCTATAAATACTGCAGTCCCTTGTGCATGAATCACCCGTATTTGCTGTCGTTTCTGATGATGGGTTCGAGCAGGAATCCGAAACGTCAGGCTAATAAAGCTCTTGTCCCAGCGATCGTGTCTCCTTTTTCAAAACCCCTGAACTATCCGAGTCATCTTTTTGGGATGACCAAGAATATTTTCACGAAGAGTGCAAAGACGGAGTCTGTGTACTTTACTCGCTGGAGAATTGTCAGTCAGTGGTGGTTGAAGGCCTCCAGTTTTCGCCCGTCTGCCTAGTAGCACGGGACTAGTAACCGTACGAAACATCCGACACATGCCGATATTTGTGACGATAGAGATATCGCATCGGGTGCACAGAAATTTATAAAGAGATTGCGAAAACCCTGTGAGGAAAACTGCTTTAGGAGATGTTCTCGTCATCCCTCTGTCCATCTGGCATCAACGTCAATTGGAGATTCTCGAGAGCGCCCATTTCCTCAGGTGAACAACTTGGACTGCTGACAGTTGCCTTCGCCCAGTCACCTAGTACCCAAACGACAGTTTCACTCAAACAACGCAGGATTCGATGAGTGTCAGATACCTACACAATACGACGTCCCGACGCTGAAAACGAAAATTGCTACGCTCGGTTTTTTTTCAGGGTTTGACTACGAGTCAGACAATGGGATGCGCAATAGGCACAACCTGCGACCATAATACGATGCGGGTCCTGCCAATAAAACTGAAGACGGTCGTCACTGAGGCACCTTTAGTCGAAAACAACCAGCAACCGCTGGAGTCCAAATAAGTCACCAGGCCACTACAGAAGTCACCAAGAAGTCCTGGTGAATGCTGGAACGATACGGTTGACTTCTAGTGTAAGATGTACCAGCCTTCCCCGGAGAGTCGTGTCGTTAGAACACAGTTCATTTCACATGATCAGGACGATTGATGAAGCAAAGCTGACTGACATCAGGTGACGCTGATATCATAAGACTTTTCCGGAGTTTGAGAATGAACCAATGCCTTGGCCTATTTTTATCAAGGATCAAAAACAGCCAAGTTACGGTGATATTGCCTCTGTTAGACCTGTATCGCCATGTTTATCGACATTACAGCTTTCGAGAAGAACTGCATTTGCAGTTCAGAGTTTGCTTGGAAGACCTACTGATGGAGTAAAATAGAAAAATAAAGCACCTACGGAGAACCGTTACGCAGGGAGAAATCAGGGGATGGCCTTAAGCACTACTATATAGGCTCGAGCGTGAAGCCTTCTGACTCAGAGTGGGAGGGTACAACTGTGATCATGCTCTATACAGCCTGTCCCGCCGATGTCATGGATTGCGCCTCTCCACGCGCGAGAATCCGCCGAAGCGGATCTGGACAGCTCCACCAACTTCCACCTCCAACGACAGAGACCGAATACCGAAGGTTCAAGGATCACCTCTACGTCTTGACGAACTGTGTCGAGCCAGGTTTTGAGTTGACCTCCTTTTCGACGCCATCTGGCGGTGCCGACTTAAGAGTGACAATACATGAGGCAGACGACGAAGAAAGTGTCATCTCTCTTGAGTGGTCTGAGGTATCCCCGAGATATTGTCGCAGCGAGTGCAAACTGTCCCAATTGATATGAAGCGGATGTGTTTCACTCGAAGGATGGTCCGGAGGTCCAGTTTTCGCCACGCGCAAGGCCTAGCATTCACGAGCACAGAAAAGGACTAGTTGAACGGATGATCGGTGCAAGCGAATGTTTGTGTCAATGGAGATGCGGCGTCGGATTTATAGACATGCTCCAAGGGGATATTAGTTTCCCTGTTGGATTTCTTATCTGCGTCAGGGTTATGCTTAGCTGCGCAGAGAGCCGAGGTTTTCAGCCCGTGCAGACAGACCATCCAAGATGCTACAGCAGTTCTTGATCCGTAAATTACTGATGCTGACAACGTTTATAACGCCTCGGTCTTGGCCTAGGTAAATAGAAAATCGACCGACGGACAAGCGAGAAGAGAGCCTTCACTAGAATGTTGTAAGCTACCAAAATCGGTCTGAAATCAGTCGAGACACTAACGTATGGGGCATGCAAGGCTTCCTTTGACTTGATCCTTCTGTATGAGCGTGAAACAGTTTCCCGTGCTCAGAAGGTACTGGTAGTGTGATGACAGCTGCGCTCTATTCTCTTAATGTTTCTCCCAGGCCGCGTTTTAAGCATGAAGCAATACGGGCATTCATTAAAGAAATCGGCGAACCGCACTCTTCACACTGGCCGGCTGGAGCAGTCTGATAGCATGCTCCTACGACTTTGAATGAAATTGTCTGGAACACTATCCAATTGTGGCTGGTGATGGCGTCAAGATGGCTGACCTCAAGCACACCCGTGACTCTGTGGTCTGCAGTCTGTCTGGCTAGAGTGTCGACTGACACAGTGTGACAGTCTGCTGACGACCAGCTCTAATGGAGGATGATGATGATGATGCTTCATGTGGCATGGGTCCAATTGATTCGGAAATGCCAAATATCGCAAGTCAGACAGCACGGCGATTCGGAGGCGAACGACAAAGGATAGAGGGGGAATTTTGGGAAAAAAAACCGGAGAGCAGAAAAATAAGAGGATGGAGCGAAAACAGGGGGTTAGAAAAGAACCAGCAGGAGCAGAGAAAGTAGTAAATTACGAGCAGCCTCCGAGATGGAGTGTGCGAGGGGCCAGTACCCAGAAACAGCAATGACAGGAAGGAAGGATTGGCGGAACCCTAGATGTAAAGGGACCACCACGGTGCGAGTACCGACAAATCCAAATCCGGGCTGCTGGGTTTAGGTAGCTTTTTTGTGAATTTGCGTCGTCTGCCCTCGAGGGGCGCGGAACCCCTGAATGTGGAAACGGTCTTGAACGGACCCTTCTGATCCACTGAGGATGAGGCGTCGCTTGAAGGACTAGACGCACCCATTCCAATTGCAGTGACACTCGACACTGGGCCTGAGGCTGACTGGTGTTGCAGCATCGAAACACTGCAGTCGCTCAATGGCACCAGTATGTTGATACTGGTCTCCTTCAACTGGGTAATTTGTAGCATCTGTGCACTGCTATCCATCCTAGCAAACGAAGACCTCGAGGTTTGCAACTCCCGCGAGTTGATTCCAGTACCTTGGTTTCCCTCTTTAACGCTCGGGTTAGCCTGGGAAACCTCTGTGGAAGCGGTATCACGGATGTCTGATTGGAGGGACTGACGGAACCCACGGTGCGGGTACCGACAAAGAAGCGGAAGAAATTAAACGCGAAGGAGTTAATGCCACATACGCCTTGCGGCGTGACGCATCGTGCGACTCAGCAGAGGACACCGAGACGGCGATTTGGAGGAAGACAGCCAGGAATAGCCGGGCATTGGATTATTAGTAGTTAATAAGGAGCCTAGACTACGCTCATGGGCAGATGGGGTTCAGCCCAAGTGCACCTGTTGGAAGACGGAGAGTTGAGGCTGTCTCGAGGGAGAGGTAGACATGCATGGTCTTAGACTAATAAGAAAGTTGTGCTGACAAAATGGTTGGATGATGCGATTCAGCTAAACTCACCGTCTCCGTCAACAGACACAAACAGATGGGATTTGCTGTTTAAGATAACCGCTTGTGGCTACAGTCAGAATTCTTTCGTTTATAGCAAAAAGAACTGGAATTCACCAATAACGCACATTTCCTAGACGATCGCAGAGGCGCCCGTCGCGGGTCAGTGACTAATTCCCTCGGAAGGCATTCCTCCTCGTCGTCGTCGAGCTGATTCAATGTTATTTATTTTACATCTAACGGACAGGCTAGGGGTGTATCGTGCCACCACGAAGCTCAAATAACACATGTAATGGAACTTGAAGAAGCGCAGTCGACAAGCGCGAATTCGGAAAAGAAATTTTCCTGAGAATAAATAGAAGTTTAGGGGTATGGGAGTAAGAGCACCGTTCAGTTAGTAGGCTTATGACTTACTTTTCCGGAAACAATCTTCTCGTAGATCTGGATTGGTTGATCAGCATAGAAAGGTGGATAGCCAGCGGCCATTTCATAAATGAGGACGCCCAGGGCCCACCAATCCACGGCTTTGTTGTAGCCCTGAAATGTTACAGAAAGCAACAGGTCAGGCTCAGAACGGCCAGCAAGAGTCTGATGTTAAGCTGTTGAAAAAGAACTCTATAACAGCAACCTCAGACTCCCGTTCACTCTCGTACATTTCTTATTGGTAGAATGAGATCTAGCACAATGACTGATCGGACGATTCGTCACTTCAACGGTCCTGCTCTTCCTGTCACTCGGCGTTAATTTCACATGGTTGCAAAGTGACAAGGTTGCTGCCCTCTGTTTTTGACTCCTGGTATAACTGCACCAAGTAACTCTTCAGTTAAAAGCGTCGGAGATCCTATAGTTAAGCGCGCGTCCGTTAAGCTATAGTGGGGAAGCAGCACATGTAGTTGTCTTCACGCTACCTTCAAACGCTAGTGGGTGACCCCACTCAACATAGGATCCAGTTTTTATCCAAGTAAATCGTATCGCACACTCAACAAGGAAAACCACTGTCCTGGAGAGGATGCAGGCGTGACTTCTACGCTAACAAGTCATTAGTGAAACAAACTTGTGAAGCATCTATCTCACTCTCTCCCTTCCCACCTCCATTGCGTCCCGATTGCAAGACAGATTCAAGGCAATTGGAGGTGGGCAAGGTTGCTAAGATCATCTATGTGCCAAAAACTCGAGCTGATTCTTAAATCTTCACTAGCCAGTTAGGGGAGGCGTTACATAAAGGCCACTTTAAGAAGAGGGTATTGCCGTCTGTCCTTGTTATTGAGCAGTTCAGAGTTATCTTATCCGTTACCAATCTTCTGGGCTACAGTTTCAAAGATGTCTTGATAGTTTCAAAGACCTTTATGGAGGAAACGATGTCCTGGGTCCGAGCTGCTTTGACCTCGCTCCCTATTCCTCTTCTCATGTGGCAGAGACTCGCCCTTGTCTGTGTTATGGCCGATGCGACTTAAAGACACCACACACTGCCTTCCATACATCCTCGAATTTCACAAACGTGGGATATATCACAAAGGAGACGTGGCAACGCAGGAATACAAGGTGAACACCGTGGGTTAGTTAAGCTGACCTTGAGGGCCCTGACACTGGTTCATGATACTGGGTTGGTAGGCGTCTAACCAGGCCAGTGCTACCGTCATTGGTTGGCATACAACCACCCCTGCTTCTGGCGGTAATTCAGGTTAACGTCGAGATTGCGTGTTAGCTCTAACGGTGTGTTTGTGGTAAACTGTGCACAACATTTGTAACTGATAGAAAGGAGCAGTCTGTGCGGACCGAGGTCTTGTTGATGTTGCTGTTGTTGCTTTGCACGCTTCAGTGCATCCCACTTAAAAGACGCCGTACGAGTAGGCCAACCTGCGTGACCTGCGTGACCAGTTATGGCGGTGGCAGAAAGGATTTTAATCTGTCATGCGGCCTAGCGTCGTTAGCATACGGTTAGCCACACAACTGCCCCGTGCTCTCATCAACATGTGGACTGGACATCAGGGTCATCCGACTGTCCACACGCATGCAAAATATAAGGACAGGGGGAGGGGGAGCAGAGGTGCCGGACAGCACCATCAGACAAAATAATTAAAATACTGTGGCCGATGCATCGTCTCTTCAAGCAACATTATCACTGGCCGTTCGTTAATCTAGCTCGACGACGGTCATCAACATGTTGGCGAACAGAAGCTACTTAGATGTGAATTAGGTTGTATGGAGGAAGACTTGCGAAAATCAATCTCACTCCATCTCCCCACACTCATCGTATTTATTTGACAAGAAGACTACGATGTGTGGGAAATTGCTTTCGGCGCGGCAGCCGACTTCGCATAATGTTTTACTCAACGTGGTGTCACTTGTATGCCGTGGTTCTTAAAACTCCATGGATTAGACACCGCATAAGGACGTCAGATTCATGATAGGGCGGCGTGGAACAGAACTGACCTCGCGTTCTGTGGTGTCTCTGCAGCAAGAACCGCCCGTGCGAAGGGCTCAACGCTTGACCGGGAATTCTGTTATCAGGTCGTCCGCGTGGGGCATACTTCAGGCTTCCACTCAGACTAGATCCCACGACATTGTCCGCATTTGGGTGCCTGAATCACGAACTACTGTCAGCTAACAGACACATGCGTTGTTTGGGTTCTTTTAAAGAGGTCCAATCAATCCCTAATTTCATGCCTTTATCCATGACGGTCACGTCCTTGGAGAACTTTAGGCAAGGATCGGTTACGCTATGCGGTCCCAAGTGTAAGCGCAATGTGGACATTGAAAGTAAAGTAAGCTGAAGGAGGATGCTGAAATCGTTAGTGACAAATTAGGCGAAGCTAAAACGGAAAAGGGGGCAACCTGATGTTTCGATTTAAAGTTAGGGTTAGTTTTAGGGTCTGGATTGGTGTTCGGTTTAGAAGTGACCTTGGAATTAGGGCTTGGAGTTAAGTTTAGGTGTTCGGGTTGGAGATAAGGTTAGGGTTAGAGTTTGGATTACAGTTTAGGTTTACGTTCACTGTTAGGGTTGGAGTTAGAGTCAGTGTTGGGGTCTCCGTTGCAATTAAGGTCTAGGGTGAAGTTTAGTTTAGCGTTCAGGGTTATCGTTAGGTTGATAATTACGTTAAGGTTTACGCTTGAAGTTACGGTTAGGATTAACGTTAGGTATTGCTGTCCCGCGTGTCCTGTCAGCCAGGTCTTTCGCGGGCATCCTAGACTTCCTTCAATCTCGCGGAAGATTGGTCATACATCAGGTTACCTTTTCCGTTTCAGCCTCGGCTACTTTCCCCACTAACGACTTCAGCATCCCCCTTCGCCCTACTTTACTTCCAATGCTCCCATTGCACTTAAACTTGGGATTCGGACAGCGTAACCGACCCTTGACTAAATTTCCTCAGAAATTAACTGCTAACTTGGAGTAGAGTTGGAGTGTTGAGTTCAGGGTTAACTTTAGGTTTATAATTACGTCAAGGTTTAGGTTTACTTTTAAGGCTACGGTTAGGATCAACGTTAGGTTTGGGGTACGCCCGTGCCCCATGTTCTGTTAGCTAGGATTCTAGGCCTCCTTCGTCATAAATCAGGCTGCCCTTTCCCCTTTTAGTTTCGGCTACTTTCCCCCCATTCTCCTACGGCTTACTTTCCTTCAGTGTCCCGTCATTGCGCTTCTACTTGGGACTCGGACAGCGTAACCGATCCTTGCCCCACGGAACACCGGACCATTTGCAAGATATCTTAAAAGGACCCTTAAACTACTAGCTGCAAGATTATTACAAGCGGACCGGACAGGGGTCTGTGCGGTGTGTTCACTTTCGCGACCCGCTTTGCCTAGGGATTCGGAACAGAGCGCTGACAGGGAAGTGGCGAACGCCTGAGGTGCTTCCTTGCAGACGAACGCAAACAAGCAGGCAAGCGGGGTTCCGTCTTGTCCCTTACGCAAGCAGACGCATATACACACACACTCACGCAATAGGCACGCATAATGAAGAGAGTGAAGAAGAAGAAGCAGCAGCAGCAGCAGCAGAAAGCAGAAGAGAGAGTGGGAATAAAGCCGGTTCGCGTAGGAGCAGAAGACACATTATGGGCAGTGCGCGAGTTTTGGCAAAGGCAACGCGCGAAAACACGATACGGAGGACCTAGTTACGAACGCGCTCGGGTGCGCGCATGCACACGGCTTGTACGCGCGCCGCACCAGGTGCGTGCCCTGCTGAACTTCGTCGCAGCCTGCTATTGGCTGACGGGCAAACGGCGACGTTGACGTACGGCGGGCGCGCATCGATCGGCGGCGCCGCCACCCCGTCAGGTCGATGCCAACGGCGACAGAGTTTTGGGGCAAACGAGGGAGACGAGATGTGGGGGAAGACAGGAAACTGCGCCTTGTGTGTTTGCGTAAGCGCGGGTGTGTGTGTTTGACAGCAGACGAACATAATTACCCACTGCACAGGCGACGCTAGATCCAAGTTGAGGAGGGAGTGAGTAAGGGCTGTGCGCCGAGTGACCGACTGGCCCCTTGCAGGGAAAATGCGCGCTTTGAAGTCCAGTTAGAGAGCCCTTCGGTACAGGGACCTTTTTAAACAGCTTCGAAGGGATAAGCAAGCACGATGCCCTATTGCGCACACATAAATTTCCACTCGAGTTAATGTACGCATGTGTATTATACGCAATAACACAGGGAGTAGCTGCTGTATTATCGAATTTCGGGTCCGTCCTCTAGTATTCGATAGATGTTTGTTTAATAGCACTAACGGTCAAGGATTTTACAAAAAACCGGGAAATCAGTTGGACTGAAGAAAGGCATTTGCATTAAAACCCTTCAAAGTCCATGTATAAGGGCATGTGAAACCCCCAAACGTGAAGTGAATTAGGTAGTAACTCCTAAAAACGACACCAATCTTTCTAAAAAGTAAGGTTTTAACAAGTATGATTAAAAAAGACATGAGGACGCAACAAGGGGAGCCGAAACTCTAGACAATAGTTCAAAGACGCCTTGATATTGATTTTTTGCCGGCCCTTGAACATTCTGGCAAACGAACGGTTAGCAAACATAGGCCTCGTCGATATGCAACGGTTTGGATGGCCCATGGAAGCTGAATCTCAAAACAAAACGGAAATATGCGTTTCCATCCAACAGGCCAGATGGACCAGTAAGCGTTACTCTCCTGCGACAATGCGTAATCTCGATCCCAGCCGACAGATGGAGACAGGGAGGTCAAACACATCGTCTACTACATTCCCAATAGACCCAATTTAGACAGACATGTGGGAAATATTTGTAAATAATGCATAGATAGTGCTTACCTTGCTAAGAATAATTTCCGGCGCCAAGTATTCTGGAGTTCCGCAGAGAGTCCATGTACGTCCCTTGACGCGCTTTGCGAATCCAAAATCTGTGATCTACGACAGAAAAGGAAGACTATGACACGATAGTTGAGGGCGAAATAACCACAGAAGGCGAAAGTAAAAACATGATCACATCCCGAGCACAATCGATCCTTTGGTGTTATTAGAATGGACGGTAAGGAGGTTCAAGGCAAGTCAGATCAAAGGAGTCGAAGCGACAGAAAATACGGCAACAATGAGTCATTCGATGGAGGACAAAAGTGGAGTGGTAAGCAGGCTGCCTGAAAATGTGGTTCTAATGTGAACCTCAACGAGAATTACATCTCCACGCTGAGATTAGACTCCAAACCTTTTGCATACGATCCCGTCTGCTCAGGGAAAGTCAGATTAAGTTTCCATTCGAACGCAGTTTACGGATAAACACTAACATATATAGGTGGAATAACATTATCGACAGTAAAAAAGGAGACCGGTGTGACCATTTCTGACTTATTAGCCGTCAGCCATAACAAACTCCAGGTATTCGCAAACCCTGAAGCCGGAACTCGCGATCTGTTGGTTGGAATTCCGACAGTTCAACTATTGTGTCACGGGCTCGTTGTCCTGTCGGGTTCGAGCCTTGGGGATTGCAAACCTGGGAGTGGGCATGGTTGGCCGATGACGGTCAGTAAACCAGAAATTGCTATTCAGATCATGAATAAGTCGCTGAGCGGCTGCTAACGAGGCCTGAGATTTGCTTTCTAGGTAAAATGGGACGAGTGCTTCACGTAAAGTTGTCGATGAACGTCTCTCAATTGCATACATATATATGAGGAGATAAGGCGATCACAGGAACCATGCTATATATATATATATACTGGAAGTTATGATTCCCAAAGAACGTGTTTACCTATATATATATCAGAGGGGAGACGACAGAGTCTGGGGGGGGGTTGATTTATACAACACTGTTTCGGGCTTGTTTGCTTTTATTTAGCCACTCACAACCCTGACCACCAGTTGGGAACGGAGACACAAACATGCGCACAGACATACCTGGCGCAGCTGGTCCACCACTTGGTCATAAGCACTTCATCGAACCGAAATGCATCAGTGCCTAGCCACCCGCCCTACTCTGTCGCTGCAGATCGGGTATTTATTCACTCAGGAGTGGGCGCCCACCGATCCATTGGCTTCCCGATATGTCTACAATAATACTTTAACACAAAGTCGTGCATACCAAACCCCGCTGGCTGTAATATCTGACAGGTCATTCAAGAGTGCAGTATCGACGCTTAATAGGAGAGAGAAACCTTACATCCAGACTTGCTGCAGTGAAACGCGATTACCTCGCCTATGAAGTTGATCATGTTATGATAAAGGTCTTCTCGAGACCCCCTCCCCCTTCCAAATTACGCACAAAACCAATAAACTGAAGGAAAAGGCAGAACAAGGGCTGTTTGTCAAGCAAGAGGGCGGCGCCTCACCGCCGGCCTGCCGTCTTCACAAAGAGGAATAGAGTCCTGGGTGCCGGGGGAGGGGAGAGGGGGGGAACAGTAAGTCGAAAATTCCACGCTTACTCGCCCCCCAGTAAACGAAGAATCCCCAAAACACCAACGGTCAGCCGACTAAAACTGAGATCGGCTAGGAGTATATGCACCGTCTAAACGTATAGGTCGAACCCCTACCAATACTGCCTGTCTTTGAAGAAAACTCTTCTTGCACAAAATGCGCCTACTGATCTGTCCGGAGGAAAAAGAAAAGAAAGCAGCAAAACTGATGTGGACGGCCACGCTGCCGGAAGAGACGTCAGACGAAGAGCGTATCCCTACAAGAACAACACAGGACGCTGAGAGAGAGAGGGAGCGACGGACTACGAAGTCTTCAATGCTTGTGCTATTCAGCTCAGGGGTCATATTTACCTTGTCCCCGCGCTAAATCACTTCTGGAACGACGAACAAAACAGGGGAAGGAGGGCAAATGATGGAACCAGCTGGCACATGAAGGTGGACCGTTCACCCTGCCTTTTAAATGAACAGTGCGATTTACCGTATCCTACAGAACCTTTCAGAACAGAAGGACTGCTGAAATAAAGGTTACAGGTTTGCCTAAAGTTCCTTCTTTTGCGTTTCTGGTAAAACCATCGAAATTTTACCAATTTACAGAGGCATCTGTTGAGGATGCGAGCTTGATGTGACCATCATACCAACATACTTCCTCAGGATGCAAGGAGACGTTTAATTAGCTCAATTTCATTAATAAAAGGAGTTCCAAGACAATCTGAGATCGGAAGGCTGCGGTCAGAGATCGTGAAAAACACGATGCCATCCCACCAATGCAAACTTTTATAAAACAGGCTCGGGGTGCAGACGAATATGAAAAGTAGGTAATGTCAGACTGGCTCAGACGGCGAAGTACGTAACCTGGCAGTTGAGGCTGTCTACAAGCAGTCTACAATCATTCTGGTCCGCTATTTTCCCCCTTACAACGGGCCACGCCGATGTTGCGTCAGACCAATAAGCTGAAAATATCGGGGCACAGCTGACGTTAGTGGACTGAGCACCTGAAACAAATGTCACAAGGTGTGTCGGCACGCCTATGCGCAGGCTCGCGTCGCGCCAGTCACCTGCGTGCGATCCCGCCTCCGTTCTCCGGTCTTGACACTAGGTCCAGGCGGGAGAGGAGGAGAGAGTGCGGTAGATGCAGCGAAAGCCTACTATCGCTAAAGATGACTTCACGAGCTGGTTGCTGTTCCTGCATCAACCCTGCACTGGGACGCATGGTGGACATCGTCGGAATCAATGCTCGAACTGCCAAGTCGGCCCGCTCTTACTTTCAAAATTTCCCTTACGAAAATAACGACTTTTCCAACGAGGAACTGATTGAAGAGAAAGTTGATTTACGCGCCGTATTATACTTATTCAAAACTCTGGGGCATATGCCTGAATGTGCATATAGTCTGGTATCTTTGGGTTCCCCGATAGTGTTAACGAAAAACGGAGGCTTGAAAAGATGAATGCGATTACGCACGAGTTTAGGACAACTTATACATGGAAATATGAGAAAACGTGAATGAAACTGCTGCTATAACAACATATCTCGTTTTACCCAATGCATATTTACTGGGAGACGTATGGATTAAGATAGGGGGGGGGATGTTGGCTTGCCTGCTTCTTCTTTTTTTTTTAGAAAAATTGGAGTCTTTGCTGTGAGAACCAGGGTGAAATTATGCAAAATGGATGTGGCGATGATCTCCTGATGAGATAAGAGGGGCTGAGAAGGTCTGAACAGGAGAACCGGTATGTCTCGGGGTTCGATTCTGCTTAAAATATTGCTCCATCTTCACCACATGAAGTAAATACCTAACTTTCTGCAGTAGACAGAACATTTAGCCATGCTGATCAATATTTCGGATTGGTCAACTCATACTGCCCCCCGGCAGTGCACTTCCAGGGGCTGCACTCTTACAGACCTTGCTGTTGGTGTTTGTGGCGCGACTGTAGTCTGACTTGGAGCAACATCTAGTCATGCATCACAGAGAGCAGTCACAAAATCCTTCGGGAGAATCACGTGTCGTCTGTGAGGCGTTTATTTTTCTTCTGCTAGCATTGAGCATAAGTGGGCTAGCATGGCTGGCATACGGTTGTGCAAAGCCGACTATACTGTGTTTGGGTTCTACACAGAGCGTCAGGGAGAGGCAAACGGACAGGCCAGAATTTCGCTGTTCTCCCACGCGCGCAAAGCGTTTTTTAATGCAAAACAGGCCTCCATTTAGGGCCTTTCAATAATACTCCTGTACGCGAATTCGTAACATAGAGATAGCTGGAGGAGGGCGTCTTTCGACAAAACTCTGCATACAATAGGGAGTTTTCAGGTGGACTTCTGTTCCAACATGGGAGCGTTTACAGTGCACGAAGGAGTTCTGTTTTTGATATGTGTGTCATTTACCTCGGCCACAGAAATAAGCATACTTACTACTTTAACCCCTGTCCGACTGTCCAAAGTTCAAAGCCCCTAACTGACAAGGCTTACCGACCGATCATGAGGGATCCAAGACGACGAAAGAAGCTCATACTATGTCCTGCAGTCAGGAATGGGCGGTGACCGTCACGCCCAAATAAACAACCAGACGTCACTGGGAGCAGACACACAAATAGGAACAGACAAAAACTGGGAAGACTGGATCATCAGCAGATCGATCAGCTGACTCAAACAAAGATTGACCGACATGGCGGGAACTCGGGTAGACGGTACTGCTGCCTCGACAATTAGACCGAAACCGGGGGAACATATGGCTGGCGCGAGGCCCTCAGTGCTGGCCGGCGGGTGGCTGGCTAAGAGGAGAACATGAATAGGACCGAAACAGCTACTGTCGGAGGTTTCTCTGTCTATCTGTGTGTTGGATACAAAAAGCATCCTCAGAACTATGCCAGTACGTGAATGTGCATCAAGTTCAGTTTGTGAGAAAACTTCATGCGAGGTGGTTAAAATACTGTTAGTCATGCTGAAATAGCACATCATCTTATTGTACTTTCAAAAGGTAACATTATGGGATGGTATAGGACATAGGTTTGGTATAACCTATCCCCCTCGAAGTCCACACCGCAGAAATCAGCTTGGAAGGCGGCGAAATAAATACCATGGAGGGGGGGGGGGCGCGGAAATGCCGACTGGAAAGAGGACGCGTGAAAAGCCATTTCTGTCTAATTTAGGCAGCATCGTGCTTGTCCCACTGTGTAAGAAATGTGTCCCCAAAACAGGCCAACACCGGGCCATATCCGATTCTGGCAGGCATTATCGGAATGTGCACCAAAACAAATGCCAACATTTCGGGGTGCGGTGGCAGACTCGGTTGCCGGTAGACGTCGCGCACACTAGGATCCCTGCCTTCTCAGACTGATGTTATGAATCAAAAACCTGGTTATTTGCTGTGTGGAACAGGAGGTGTGGAGTGGAACGCCAAGATGCAGGCTCGACCACTTGCGCCCTCCTCCGCCTCCGGTCTTTTTGACTGTGTCTTGACACCTTGTTGTGGAGCACACAGTGGACAGCGTCGGTAACGACGGTCGAACTGTCGTTTACGAGGTATGCTGGGGCATGTTGGGCTGGTGATGACTAGTCAGTCAGAAATGCTTTTTCATCATTGTCGATACTGCCTCCAGATTATTGATTTTTACAGTTGCGCGACCGCCTGCGATGTCTCAAGATTGGAAGTTCAGAACAAAAGGGGGGTGGGGGATAGGCTGCATCGAGCAAATGATCGGGCGGAGTACCGTTTCCACGAATGGAAACCTTTTATTCTGTCAAAGAACAACTAGGGACCGGAAACAGTTGTCGGCGACAGCATCAATAATATTCCATCTTCAGCCTGTAGCGCGAAGGGAGGACAAGCGAGTAAAGGGCAGCGGATGCCTCGGAGGAGGGTACATATAATCTTTGTCATTTTGGCTGAGATGTATGCGCAGCTAGAGCCCAGAGTGCACTCGACAGGTTTTATCGAACGCCATTTCTCAAAGAGGGCATTACAACTACACGGGGTCCAATAAAATTGCAGACTAAGGTCTGTCCTCGTGATGCCTAGCGTCTGGCCCTCAGACAACAAGCATGATTGGGCCGATTTTCGAGAAACTGTCTATCGCGTTCTTATTTAGTAGAATTTAAACTTGGATAAAAGGGAGGAAGAATGGCTACCTCGAGTTTTCCCTGACTGACAGTGAAGTCCTAGTCCCTTGAAAAGAAGACTTCTTGATTCCAACAGTGGCTCACCTATTCCCCCCAGCCTCTTATCAATACTAGCTTGCGCATGATGGGAGAAGACTAAAATTATCTAAGACGCGATGCAGATGCTGGGAATTAAATGTGGACGCAGCCCTAAAGGCAAGCAGACAAGGCGTTAAACTTGACAAAAGTAATCGTCTCACAGAAGTAGGCAGACAGGCCGAAAAACTTTCTTCTAGACAGCAGGGTAGGCTACGCCCTCATTGATGACAGATTACTTAGAAGTGGCAGGAAATTCCGAAAGACCTCTATCAACACGTGCCATCCAAATGACAGGTGAACAAGAATGTTTGCCTGCAATCATCACAAACGCACACACACATACACACAGACACGAAAAGCCCACCACTCGGACGGACATTTTATATTTTGCAGGATTTGGGCTGGGCCAAAACGCAGCTAAAAGCATCTGGGAAAATGGAAACAGAGAGTGGGCGAAGCCGGTCGGAGTAGCAATATCCGGCTGGCCAAATCTCCTAATGAAGGCTAGACTAAGACCTTGCATCACCACAAACAAGCGTGTGCAAGCGCTAGCTGGAAGAAACCCATCAAACGGGTTGGACAGTGGGGAAGTGGTGATGAGAAGTGAGGGATGGGGGGGAGACGAGTTGGAGTTGAAGGAACACCCATGTGCTTATCCAAAAATGTGGAAGTCCAGGACTACTGCCACGACCCATCACGAGTCACGAATGTTTTTGTCCAGAGCCTGTCGAATTAGCTTTCATGGCATAAAATGTGTTGCTTTGTAGAAGCATACGACGGCAATCACATTTTTAAGTTATACCATGTAAAGACGGCTGACTCGCTAGTTGAAAATTGGCCGAAAAAATGGGAAAATGCCAATCAAAATGCCGTTCATTTCATAAACGCAAGTTGTTTTTTAACGGTTCGAATTCGCAGGGCGATATTAAAAATGCAACGTGAGCTTTTCATCTGACGTTGTCAGAATGCATTATTAGCGTTTTTGAATACAATATGCCATTCAGCCACACAAGCAACGGGCGCTGCGCTAATTTCAGTCAATCCGAAAAACCGCGGAAAAGGAAACGGGAAGGCACGTATGCTACATTCTCAGTAAGTTGAATGCATAGTTAGAAGAGTATTTTTTATTTTCCGAATGCAGATTAGAATGTCTTCCTACTGAAAAAGTGATCAGATTGCCTGCGTAAACAAAATAGCCGTCTAAAATAATCGCTTTTCACTGTCAAGAATTCGCCTGACAAAAGTAACAATTTTCCTTTATGTGGAAAATCATGGATTTGCTTAAGACTGAGTTACAGAATCCCCCGAACAACTCGTACTCTTGCGTGGTATTAAAGAATAGACACCACCTTATGCATTTGAGGATAAATGTTCATGATGTACTGCCAAAATTCCAGTCAAATAAGGGGCACCTCAGCATGAGTTTATTTCCAGTAATGGCAACCATACCCTGATTATCCCCCATCTACCTATTTTAAGGTCGAATATATATAATGCCCGCTATTGTAGAAGCTGTTTTTTTTTAATATCCAAAATAGCGACTGATTTTAGACGGCAAGTGCTGTCAAAAGCCAGAGTCGCGTGTACGTATAAAAAGTGTCCAAAAAGGCCGGATTTTTTCAAGGGCGACTGGAGGCTCCAGTGCATTTGTGAAAAAAGACAGCCTGAGTTTTTCAGTGCCTACGTTGAATGCAATTTGCATTTGCAAGCTTGACTGTTTAGAATACGCACGACTGACAGCGCGTCTTAATCATGTGGCCGACGAAAGGCTGGGGTCTTACACACATTAAGAATTAATCAGCACGTATAGTGGAAGCGAAAGATATGTGTACTACATAGAGAGATATTTGTCTCTGAGAACGCTGAATTTTTACTGGTAAGATGGAAAAGACTCGAATGGTTGACGCAAAACAGATCCCAGCGGTTCTACTCAGTCTATTTCATTACCAAAAATAGATACACAAAGGTGACATACCTTTAGATAACCTTGTTGGTCAATGAGGATGTTTTCCGGTTTTAAGTCGCGATAGACCAGCTCAAGGTGATGCAGATATTCAAATGCAAGTACGACCTGACTCGCGTAGAAACGCGCATGGTGTTCACTGAAATAAGGGGACACGGTGGTGAATAAAACATGGACCTAACTGCCATATCTTCCTCATAAACAAAAAACTCGACCACAATCAGTGATCAAATAATTTCGCTGCATATAACCTGCACTATCCGGTGTATAGGGAGCAACAGTCGAAATGTTTACCATGTTACAATGGGCTGTGCGTGAGTGAAAATAGTAAAATGGCAGTCTAAGCCCATTTACTATTGCAGAAAAGAGAGCTTCGAAAACTCATATTAATCTTATTTCGGCAATAGCCAAACGACCATTGTTAGGCTTTAATACGCAAAATAATACTATCTTGGCTTAATTTTCCACTAAAAGTGGACATGTAGCTATTGCATTTCAAATCATCTAAATAATGTTGGCTATATAAACGGCAGTAGTTCATACAACAGAAACCGTAAAAATGTCAGTGTAAAATGGACTCAAGTTACCTTCTTTAAGACGACGGCAATAAGTTGAAAAGTAAACAAAAATCAAAATTACTTTGAAGTCTTTATTTGGAAATAACCAGCCAGGCGAATGTTAGTCGCTTCGAGCCGCCAAATATATTAGTCGCCTTTGCAAGGACAGATATCCTAGACGAGCTCAAAAAGGACAAGTTTAAAAGCGCTTTTTGCGGAGCTTTGCGTTTGTGGTTACTAATTCCGATCGCAGGCTCTCGGCGAACAAAGGTCTAAGTTTTGTCCGACCAGTCGTCAAATCAAGCACGATATTAGAGTACAGCTCCCAACGCATTGCTCGCGTCCAAAGTAAGTTGAATTTATAAGCGAAAAACCAATGTTGAGAAGCAATGTCAAAAGGGAAGCTAACACTGGACTGAGAAGCAAAGCAGCGTTAAGCAAAACTTAGACCAATGCTCGAAAATACCTGAATCGACCGATTTTCCGGAGGTGTGAGAACATTTCACCCCCATTGACAAACTCAAGGACCATGTAGAGATTACTGTTGTCCTAAAAGGAAATTTCAAAATCTAGACCGTATCAAGAAAAAATATTTCATAAGAAAAAAGATGGTGAGCAGACGAAGAAACTGGGATCAAATAAATTTAAAGACAATCAGTCCCCTAGGCGGCAGGTAAACTAAAATGGCACACCGGTGATAATATTAAACTCAGGAACTCGGGGACACCGTTAACGGCATCAACAAACAATACTTGAAAACATGGAAAGGTGCAATGTCAGAACGCTTTAAGTGAATTATGTCAGCGCTCAACGAAACAATGGTTGAGTGTCTCCGAAGGAGGACTAAAAGGCAGGTAGGATAGGAAACTAACAGGTCGATGTTTATATGACTGTAACTCAAAAAGTTGAGTATTAAGAGTAAAAATAAAAAAATTTATTCGGTCAAAATAACGTATCATATAAAAATTTTAAAAGAGAATCTTATAGCACAGTTTTCACAAGCAACAAACCTTGAAGTGGTACTCCAGTTTAACAAGGAATGGAAAAGAAATGGCCTGTAATATCCGTTTTTCGTTCAGTGTATGTTCGACTTGTTTGAGTTTGACAACCTAGTAGTTATCTCAAAAATTACTCCAGTACCTTCTGTTTGTCTAGAATTTTCATTGCATAGTAATCCTTCTTGGCTTTATGTTGAACAAGCATTACTCTTCCAAAAGAACCTGTTCCCAGAGTCTTCAACCGATCGAAGTCATCGAGGCAGGCGGTATTCTACACGACCAATAGAGTTGTAGCAAAATGCACTGGTTCCAAATACCTGTGACGGTTTTTCCCACTTTTCGAGGAAATCCTTCTTAGCATCATCGAGAAAGGCCTTAACTAAAAACGAATAAAATAGATACGATAAAAAATTTTAAGTGCATTAAATATTAATGTATCCACTGAAATAAGGAAAATACCATCGGCGGGTTCGCCCCTTTTTGACGTGGCAGCATTGCCCATGTTTAAATGCAGGCGACTACTGTTCAGCAATATCTTGAACTGTTAACGACCTTGAGTTTTATCTGATTGGGCGTTTAAAACAAACCAATCAAAATGCACTTGATGAATGCCACTCTGATGTTAAACATACAAGGTGATTTTTGTTGCAAAATTTACGTGGTATTCAGGCTTAAATGTCTGAATTATTCTTTATATTCATGGAGGAATCGTGGCGGAAAGTTTTTTGGCTGTAGCTCATTTTGTTCTGAGAGATTCGCAACACACTGAAAAAAAATCGGTAAAGTTTAGGATTTGCGCAAAAACCTCCCTATTTCAGGAAACCTGGCCTTGAGGAAGTTATTTGTGTCTTAGTGAGATTGAAAATACCTGCTATGTTATATGTCCGAGACTTTTTGACACTCCTGTCCTCTGACATTATAAAAATGAGACTCCTCAACCACCTGTGAGATTAATAATAGGGAACTTTCTGCAAAATTATCTCAAATGTTCTCTTGTCATTTTCAGCGACTCATGAAAGCCTATGGGCAGTATTTGACTTATAGAAAACTTTTTAATATGCATAAATGTAGGTGTTCAATAAAGTGTCCTAAATAATTTATAAGCATGCGTGTATGAGCCCGATTAGTGAGGCAAGAGGGTTCGTCAAGAATGCAAGACATGTCTGGGCGGACGAAGTCCGCTCTACATCCGAACTGTCTGGCTGCGTGGAATGTCCTCTTTAGGAAACTTTTATAGCTATCTACACAACGAAGTTTGTATTCGACGTATAAGTATTATAATGCTGAATAAAATCATGCCTGTGATGATTGTGTGACAGACATTATTAAAATCCTGATACGAGTGCTTTTTTATGTAGAAATGGTTAATTTCTAAATGAGAAACAACGTGGGTAAAACTCTTGCGCTTGGTTCGCAACTAGAACAACAAAGGGTAGTTTTATCGGCTTAAAAAGTCAGCGTAACTGCAGGAAACCTCCACTTTAGTAACAAGAATACTGTTTAACGCAACCGATCATCAAAACATTGACACTCATAATGACAGCGAACGGCTGAAATGTTGGGTCTTGTTCTGTGTCCCTGTCCACTTTAACCTTCACCAAGTAGAATTAGAAAAAGCCAATACTTTCGATATTCCTGTACACGAAATCGTTGTCGACCTTATTGTTGTATTTGCTGACCTTTGACGGACGGACAATAATAACTGAAATTCGAATTACCGTTTTTATCCGATCATTTCTGCGGATACGTGTATATTTATTGATAGTGTTTACTTAATCACAGTTAGTAGAGCTTATGATTTAAAACTTTCATGGAGTAGTTTCGCATTACGGATGCAAGATGGTAAAATGTAACACGTTTATTAAAGTAAGTTCCGAAAGATAACTTAAAATAAACTTTTACTTCGTTTTGGTCCAGTTGATTTAAGCTGTGATTTCTAATGGGAAATGCGTAAACCAACTGCGTAAGTCTTGCTTTCCCTCGAGGTTTGCCACGGAAAGCATCCTTATCTGCCGGTCATATTTCTCATATTTTGGGAAATTAAGTGGGAATAAGAAGCCCTCATCAAGTTGTATAGTATATTGTCAATAAATCAGGAGATTTGCATCCTAAAACAGCCGAGGACAATTTCATCAGACATTTATCTTCGGGTTTTTGCTAAAATATGCCTAACCAACTAATCTGTATGGATTAAGATAAGTGAAAAAATAGGGAAAGGATCTCTGGCCTGCAGCATGGGTGAATATGAGAGGAATAAGGGTAACAAATATCTGACTAAACATTGAAAAGAATGTCTTTCACGAACTGCTTTCCGCTATTGTAGCTATTGGGTTGGAAAATTTAACTTTTATATGCCACAGCAGGAAGCAGTTAAAGGACGTTGTATCAGTTTGTCAAAACGGAAGCATAGGACAAGGTTTCGGAATTCTAAATTTAAAGATATTTTTACGCAACAGTCCACGTCACCTCGCCTATAGGAAACTAATAGACAATATTAACCCTAACTAGCATGCAAACTACTAAGTTCAATAGAAGTTTTCCAAAAAGTTCCAAACCGAGACATTTAACTCAGAAACGTCCGATGTTTTGATAAGGGGAAGTCATTAGATGCCTTCTAAATCAACCCCCGGCTTCGGATTTTGTGGAGACCGCAGGGGTCATATAATAAACGCGAAGTGTTTGTTTAAACAACCAGGAACACTTCGTGGAATCTGACGCAACTGCGGGCGAAACAATTGTTTTATGTAAAGTTGAAGATTATTCCAGACGCGAATGACAGTATGTGCATCAGCAGTGAGAAAAAGTGACTTAGACTACCAGGACGTGGCTCACTCGAAGCGACCCGGTTACGCATTTAGGCTGGATGAAGTTAACTGTCTCGCAAAAGCTGGCAATCGCTTCAGTCGCGAGTAATTCGAATTGAGATTCTTTGACTCACAGCCTGTCTACAGACCCAATGTTCTCACTCCTCCCTGGTCCGTGCAAACTCTACCTAATGAGATTAATTAGTCACGGTGACGCACGCTGGTAAGATTATTTCAAGTGGCAGTATTAACTAGCCAAATGCCGAGTAATAGTCGCAGCAGTACCCAGTTATAATTGAAAATGCGGCGATTAACGATTCGGGTGTGGGTGATCAAGAAATAATCTCACCAATTACGAAAATCAGCAGTGAATGTTGGTGTAGCGGTCTTTAGTAGGTATGCAGTTGGGTGACAGCTGTGTCCAGTTAACACCTGGACACCTATTCGGCACCTAGTATAATTCGCGTATGAATCCGGAAGTTCTGGCAAAGGTTTCGTATACTGCTGACAGAGTCTTCTTCATTTTCACAAGCACAAATTATACGACAGAAGAACAACACTACTTTTGCACTAATAATCAGCGAGACTTGTCCGTGTCAGTGTTAGCTCTCCTAACATGCAAATAACTTGTTATCGTTGTCCGTCATCGAACATACACTTTGCTTTTCAAGTATCCTTAACGTACTCCCAATCGAATAATAGATGGTTATTAAAAAATGGGTATGATGGTTGATAATTTGCCTAATTCGGACCTCCTTAAAATATTTTATCACGTCTAGGCAATTCACTTGTCACTTGTTGGAGTAGTAGAGGGGTCAAACAAGCATAATAAATAGAATTACGTTCTACTAGGAAAATCCTTTGGTGACAATTTAAAAATTCGATCATACAAAATACGACAATGGCTATGAGTCATTTACTTACTTTCATAAATTGAGTTACATAATTGCATTAATACAGTATACAGCACAATTATCTATATACACACTAACAAAGTCACCTGTTCGAAACCAAAACTTTACTGAGTCCCATTGAAACGGGTATGACTATTTTAGTGCATACATTGCGGGCATTAGTACTCAGGAAATATTCACAGAAGAGTTTGTAAACGTTTGAACCCTGTCCTTCGGTCGAAAACTGTCCAATTTACACTCATAAAGTGTCTCATGCAAATGGGCGCTGATTCAATACTGTGAATTTTTCCACTGGCTTTAGATACGTGCACACGTCCTGCTAGAACTCATAGAATTGACAAAATAAATATTGTAATACCATAAAATCTCCTGCATGAATGATACATGAACCTCGACAGTGAAAAACTTCTGAGCTTTCCACTTGCAGTGGTTTGAAAATCACCTGACATATATTTCATCTCTGTGGAATTCGCACAATTATCTGTTTGTTTCCGTGGTGAAGTTTCCAGGTGTTTAAAACACATTGGAGTGCACTCAGGAATGGGCGCACACCGATCTATTGACTTCCCGAAGCAAACAAGCTTCGTATGAGCGATAGGGGTCACGGTTGGTGGTCAGGGTTATGGTTGGCTGAATGAAGGCAAACAAGCCCGAAACAGTGCTGTATCAATCTACCCCCCAGACTATGTCGTATCCGCTCTGCTACATTGGAGTGCGTTTGGCTAATGCGTGAGTCCTTGTAAGGAGCAGCAATTAAAAATACTAGTACCCTAAGAATAAAAAAATTGCATCCTGTTTGAAGTTAGAATACATCATACATTGCGAAACATCTTTGGATAACAGCGGATTCTTTGAACTATTTCGGCGATAATCTTACGTTCATCTTTCGAGGACATATTTTACTGGGTTTGTACGCACATGGCAAATAAGTTATGAAAATACCCATCAGACCATGACTGACTTTTGAGTTGAGTCTTTTGTCTAAGTGCAAAAAACGATGTTTCGATACATTAATTATTATAGGAGGAATTCTCTAGTTTACTACTCTTAAAAATATGGTTAAGGAACAGTTTTTAACAGAGAGGACATTTGAAAAAGTTAATTTACGGGTCCCATGTCTGGCGTCCACTTAAGTCATACAAAACTGCAAATATTTCTAGCTCATGTCACAATTACTTAACAAAATGTTTCTCATCGTTCCGCCTATCAACAGTTAGACTACTTAAGAAACCTTTATCAAACATACGCAATGTCAAATCTTGCAGGCAAGCAAATATTCAGCATTTTCTTGAAGAGGGCACGTATGAGTTTGTAGAGGTATCATTCTTTTCAACTGTTTAATGCTACCCAACAAGGAACATCTCCAAAATTGGAGAGCATCGGTTTTCAAAAGATTTTATTCCAAAACCAGTAGCACCCATAAAGGGCTGCTTAGACAGATCGTACGATATTATTGGTTCTGTAATCAGTCTTTTAATTCTTGCCCAGTTAACTTGATTTAAGTCTTATATACATGAGTCATAGTATTCCACCGAGGCGCCAAGTTTTGACGGTTGGGTCAGTATGAATTATTCAAAGTCTGCCAAGACACCTATGAAGTACGTGAGCCTGGTAGTCATCTGGTGGATTACTTAGTAAATCCTACTTGAGTAGTCAGCTTACCACATCAGATTCTGTAGATTCCAGACGTTGCAGTGTATCGGGCGGATAACTTGACCAAAATGTGATTAAACCCACGTCTCAGGTGGCTAGAGCGCTGGTTGTACTAAAGCCTTCTCCTTGCT